ACCATTACTATTATTTGTTTGTAAGAAATCAATAACTCATTTGTGTGTAAACCATTACTATTATTTGTCTTTGAGAAAGCACAGCTCAATTATATGTAACTCATTACAATTTTCTATCCGTAAAGAAAAACTAATTTTTAAGAAATTCATTCATATTACATCTGTAAGAAAACAACTACTTAATTGTAATCCATTACAATTATTTATTTGTAAGACTTATTTAATTTTTTCCGCTTACTATTTTAATCTGTCTATACAAAAAGAACAGCTAACTTATAAGTACATGCTACCATTGTCATACGATTTTTAAATTAAAACCAACAACAATTAATATCTGTGTAATCCATTACTGTTATTTGTCTATAAGAAGCTAATTTTTATGTAATCCATTACCATTACCTAAGTAAACAACTGATAACTTATATGTACATGCTACTATTTCAGTCTACAAAAACAGACGCTAAAAGACAGATAATTTCTCTACAACCTTTTACAATTGTTACTTATTTCTAAGAAAAACAATAGTTAAGAAATCTGTATAATAACTATGTTACCTGCTCCTTATATTACCTGTCCATAAGAAAAAAAAATCTAAAACACAGCAATTACTTGTTTTCAACACAATAATAATAATAATAAAAAAAAACAGCTAATATTTCTGAAACATGCTACTGTTGTTACATGTCTGTAAAAAAAATAAAAGCTAAAAAAATACTAGGTAATTCTATTAGCTACTTCTATTTTACCTGTCTGTAATATCGTTTTCTTAGAATTCCTCTGTTATTATCCAGCTTGTCAGCCACTGCTGCACCATATATTTCCATGCTGGCTGTAAATACCACAAGTTCATACCAATGGCTAACCTGTGAAGTTAAAATATTATCTTTACACTTCACTTACATTGTTGAGCATTTTATATTTTATCACAAGAATTTGTATTTATTTTTCAATAAACATAAAGCTACACAATGGGTTATTTAGGCTGTGACCACCATTCATACCAAAACTCATATTTTGGCATTATAAATCCACAGACTTACCACTGGAAGCTTATCACAAGAACCATCTACTGGGTGATAAAGAAAATTTTAAATTGGGTTTTTGTTAGTTAAAAACTATTTGTTGTAAACAAAATTTCACTATACAGGAAAGTTTGGACACGGCACAATACAAAATTGGCAACATGAATAAAATACATGTCAGCATGAAAGATATTATAAAGATTTATGTTCACTGTTCAGAGTAGATGATGAGTAACATAATTTAGGGATAGGCTTGATATACTAATTGAGAATGATTGGAAAAAAATGCTGATTATCTTTTGTGATAGTTTTAAAATATCATATAGTTGGTAAACAAATTTTAGAACAGTACCAATCACAAGGTATGTTTGACTTAATTTTTTTTATCTTTAGGGTCAAATTAACAAGTTTTGTCTATTTAAGTCTAACAACAAAAAAACACTAATTTTAAACAATAGTTTAAATCCTATTTCCATTTCACTACTTTCGTAGATCAATAAACAAAAATTCATTATTAATAATTTATGAAAATAGTTGAAGTTGTTTTTAAAACTATGAAAAATAACTAAACAAATATCATGAAATAATTTTATATTATTGTAAAACAAACGTTATATTTCAAATGTTTAAAAAAAAAAGGTAGCTTTATTATTACTTTTCTGGTTACATAATTTCCAAAATCTTGTTATGAAACACCGTTTGGGAAAAACATAACATTAAAAATCTTTTTTTTTCATTTTGGAATGTAATTTTTTTACTGTCGATCAGAAAGTTCCATTTTATATATCCAATCATTTTCAACTTCATTTACATTCATTAACTTTTTTTTTTTTAAATTTACTCTGCCAATTTCAGAAGTCCCCATTTCCAGCTATAAATTGCAAAACACATGGCAACAAGAGGAAATCCTCAACAGCCACAGCTGTAATTAGATCTAGATGGAGCTATGAGCTAAAAGCTTGTACTTGAAAATAAAAACTCGGAACCAGAAGTATGAGTCGCAGCTAAAAATTGACAAAACATTATTATTGACCAACGATTTGACATTTGAAAATAGTGTCACCATAACTCTCTATTAATTATCTTTGTAAGCTAGGTGTCAATTTTTGCTATCAATATTCTTGTTCCAGATAAATTGTTTAGTAAATAATGATTCGAGCCATTGGAATATTGTGCTGCTAAATCTAACCTAAGCTTACCAGATGTCTTGTCGTCCAAGAAAATTTATGCATCTTTCAAACAGACATAATTTAGCATTCAAATATTTTCACGAATGAAAAGCTGTCTAACGAAACAATAAAAAATTTCCAGAACTTTGGTTTGTTCCTAAGTTTTCCACGTTTCCCTTTTGGTTCCTGTATTCACCCCTTCAGGAGTTCTAACTGGCCATTTTCTCAAGAACCACTTTATTTACTCCATACTAAGGTAAACAATTTATAATCTGTTCTATTCAATCATATCTAAACTCTGCATATAGTAATTTGCAAAGGTATTAGTAATTAGAAAGCTTTATTATTATTCAATAAATAAGATGTTAACCCTATCATTTTACCCTATCCTTTACTGTGCATGTCACAAGGTTTTGTATCTTACATTCAAAATGTTATTAAACTACTTTTTGTTTATGTTATACCAATTAGTATAGCATAAAATTTAGCTAATAATTCATATTTTAATAGTATATAAGTTTTAAGTTCTTTTAAGTTTTATAAGGCAATATTTTTAAAAATCCTGAATTTCCCATAGTGCGTGACATTTTCTCTAGACATCTTCTCTTACCTATTGTTACGACAGCGGGAGTCATGTGACGAGTATTCTAGAAGATTTGCGATAAATGCTAGTGTGTTACGACAGAGGAAGTCAAGTGACGCTGGTAGCACGTGTTGAGAGCCTAGAAGATTCTAGAACAGGCGGTATTATCGTATATAAGTGCGCTAGAGAGAGAGAGAGAGAAGCAGAGAAAGAGAGGGAGAGTGAGGAAATAAGGACAGCAGTTACAGCTGGTGGAAACCTAGGACAGCAGATACAGAGATCGAAACTATAGTTGCTGACAGGCGGAGATAGAGACGGACAATTGAGTAAAGCGTGGTAGAAAGTGAGTGAATTGTTGTGAACTATAGTGTGTGTAACTGTGAAAATTAAGTGTATTGCAAAGTTGTATCGAGAAAGAATAAATAAGTTTTATTTAAGAAAGGACTTGTATCGTAGAAAAATTAACAAACAAACATACAGAGATGCAACAAATTGGTGTCAGAAGTGGGATAAAAAAATGGAAACAAGAAGCGGCAAATCAAACTACAGCTTAGCAGATTTGATGGCAGCAATACAAGAACAACAAAAGAAACAAGAAGAACGAGAAGAGAAACAAGATGAGAAATTACAGCAGTTGTTGGAGGAAAAAGAAAAGAAACAAGAAGAGAGATTACAACAGCTATTGGAGGAGAAAGAAAATAAACAGGAAGAAAGTCTCCAACAGTTGCAGGAAAGTCAACAACAGTGGCAAGAAGTACAAATGGAAAACATTAGTAAATTTAAAAAGCAAATTAGATACATTAAA